GGGGTAAGCCTTCTGCACTAACCCTTGATGCCAATGCGATGCTAATTTGGGATGCGTTGGAATGTTTCCCTAAAGGAGCCACACGCCACAGGGCGTGCTGCGATCTTGATCAGGCGTTTCACGACAAAAATGAAGCATAGACCAATACGTACCAGTGGACATTTTATGAATGGATTTTTATTTCCTAAATGTAAAGGTAAATATAAGCAGGTAGTTATATTCAACAAAAACTATTAAGTTATTAGTTAATTCCCCCCTTTTATATCGTTCTGAAAGGGGCTATGTTATAATGGCTCCACATTTTTTGGTCAAAGCTGAGCTTAAATTTTTACTAAATATTTTCTGTCATCCTTTATCACACTTGGAACCCGAAAAGAAAGACGCCAAATGATTCTATCAAAAGGGAAAACAAAGCAATCATATAATTGTTGGTCACTTTTCAACCACGCAGGATTTTAACCTGAAAAAGTTGGACAAATTCTTGCAAATTTCAATCCGATTTCATCCTGGCCATCAAAAGCTATAAAGGCATACCCTTATAGTTGAGGCTTGTAGTCAAACCTCTTTAATACGGATACCAAAGGGACAGAACCAAGTGTCCGCCTTACAGAGGTGTCCGTATTAGAGAGGTAGGGAATGTATGATTTTTGGCATTTCGGGGACCAAATGAGTAAGAGAGAGGTGTCCGCGTATTGTTGAGGTGTCCGTAAGGAGAGGTTAGACTGTAAATGGTATTTAGATAAAAGCGTCGGCCAGACTGAAAATAGCTTAGAACGCAGTTTTTTTTAAGCACTGGCCAAACTCCGTTTAAGTAACTGGCCCTGAAAGTCTAAATATATAAGAAAATAAATAAATTAAATTAAATTACTAAGAGATAGAGACAAGGAAGAAAAGAAGTTAAAACAATCATTAAAAGGAACTTGTCAAAAAAGTAAGTAGAAATTCGATTTAAGTTAAAATAAAGTCCGGGATAGAGATAAAGGCTTAAGGCTATTACAGTTCTCACTAGGCTTTTTTATTCTTTTGAGAATAAGATGTGCTTCAATATAAACAGGTAAACGTCCTCAGTTTGCAAAAGAAATTTTTAACATAAATTCATGAACATAATTTTTGAAGGCTTGAAAAAATTTAAAAGAGAAAAAAATATTCGTCCAATAATTTCAATAATTTCTTTTTCCACAGCCTGAAAAACTAAAGTAAGACCACAAACTTTCTCTACTATTTTTCACTCTTGGATACATTGTGAGGTAATTCACACAAGGAAAACAGGCCATGGAGGTTAACCGCTGGCAACGACTCTGACAGCACGCAAAACAAAATGACGTGTCGAAAATCAGCCAAGTGTGACAGAGGTGTTTTGCATTCAACAAGAGCGACAACTGGATATCGCGAATTTATCCAAGAGATTTCTTGGTTTTGGATCAGTTTTACCAGTGTCTTCCTCATCTAATCATGAGACAACTGCCAGGAAAAGCGTCCAAAGAAACCAGGAGAATGAAAAGAGAAAGAAAGAAGGGAAATTCTGAGGGACACCAGAAAATGTTAACTGTCGCGTTACCCGTTTTTCTTGGCTTGTTCGTTTTGTTGGTCGCATACGTTTACACCACCGCCAGCAAGCACTGATGTAACGGAATTTTTATCAAAGAACTGAGCAGGCGAATGAAACATGGATGTAGCTGATTAAGAGTTTTAAAAGCGCAAAAAGACTTCTGGAAAATTAGCTACCTACCCCACACTGACCTTTATATGTGACCATGGCGCTTCCATCGACACTTAAACATTCGGAACTTTTAGTTCAGGAACAGTGCAGTCTTCAGTGACTTTAAATGTTTTTCTTGAAAATGAAATGAATACGGTAATGAACTCTACAGCTCAGGAAAGGTTTCTTCAAGACGTTGCTCTTTCTTGGGAGTTATTTGGTAGTTTTTACTTTACACTGGTTTGATCATCCATATTTCATTAAGTCGCAAGATTATTGTAAACATGAATGTCGTTCTTTGTAAAATGGAACATCTGGAACAGCTGACTTTTTTTATTTCATCGATAGTTTAGTGGTGTAAGTTGTAATCTTAAAGTTATTTGAATGTGTCGTTGTTAGAACAAAGAAAGAAACCTGTATAAAAATGCTATATTTTGATGTAGATGACTGAAATATTGCATTGAGTGTTACCCGTTTTCTATGGTGTAATTTTTAGAATACTTTTCAGTACAGAACTTATACAAGTACGAGTTTTTCGTCATTACGATCTTATTGGAATTTCAGGAAGTCTATTATTCCTAAGTGGCGATGATATAGTTTCCCTTGCTAACATGTGTATTGGCTGTTTAGTTGACTTGACATGATCGAGAACCCCCCCCCCCCCAAAAAAAAAAAAAAAAAAAAAAAAAAAAAAAAAAACCACAAAAAACCAACAAAACAAAAATAAAAAAGAAAAAAAGAACAAAAAAAAAAAAAAGAAAAAAACCAAAAAAAACAAAAAAGAAGTATGCGAATACAAGAAGATGAACAAAAGTTACAAAGGAAAAAAAAAAAGACAACTACGCTTAAAGTTAT